TGTGTGTGTGTGGGTGTGCGTGTGCGGGTGTGTGTTCATATTTACCGCGCGCGAAGAGAAAATGTTTGCCCCGCAACTCGGTAGCCGGGCTGTGCCGTGTCACGTGCCATGCACTGAGGAGCGCTGAGTGGTTGGCGAGTGAATAGCGTTTGTTAGCAAACGCGGTCGCAAGCTTGCTCTTCTTCTCACGCTATTAGCTGCTTAACTACCGCTCGCTTCATAAACTACACAAAGCGCTCCGTCGCGACTGCTTGACGTGAAAGCCTAACTTGGTACCTGATTTACGGTGTTTCGTCGCTACGTTTATTACCACTGCCTGCCATTGTCAGGTGCGACTGTAATGCGAGTTCTCTTGATGAACATCCCCCCTCCCCCTACCCGCGCGGCTCACCTCACTACCCCCGTGACAATTTCAGAAGATCTCTTACCATGTCGGCAAACAACGCAGACAAGCGCCCGTAAGCTTTTAAAAAAAACTCGTCAGGGAATTCTTGACACACCCACGCCGCAGGTTTCTACCGTCGGTGGCCCCATCTCCACATCTTCCCTCGCGCTTTAGACGTTCTGGGTGTAATTCCTTCCTGCATGCCTTATCACTCCCCGTAGCTCCCGCCGTTGCCACTTACCTCCTCGTCTATGGAGAAGAACTTCCAGCTTTGTGCGCCGAACGTGGTGATGTTCTGGTAGTAGACGAACTCTCCTTTCTCCCATTTGTAGAGAGGAGACGCCTGCTCGGCATCGTCCTTCGAGCTCTCGCAAGCTAGCATGAGGAAGGTACCCTGGTCGGGAAGCGTGAACACCTCGGCATCTGAGCAGGGGGAGGGAGTTCTGATCTCCTGGTATACGTCAATGTAGTCCATCTCTTCGACTCTGTCTTCTGTTGAAAGGTTAATAACATCCGTCAAGATATGGCATGTGATTTATATCGGTTTATATTATAAAACGTTCGCAAATCTATGTGTTGAGTGATTACAGTACAAAAATAACTAACACAAATGTTGTTGGGTTTGTTTAGCATCACGATGGTTGATCATGGCGATAGCTATACTTACTGAATTAAAAACTGCGGCTATATAACACTGCTATAGTTTCTTTAGATATCACAAATATGTATTAATGTCATTACTGATGTTTGGTTTAGGTTGGTATGTTGCTCGAGAACGAAATACATGATATGTACCAAGACGAAGATATGGGGGAACAGGCAAGAAACAGGTGACGACAATGCGTGCGTATCTAGTAAAGGTGAAGCAAACTAACCAATACATGTGACAGACAGAGACAGTGCATTGTGCTACATTCTAAACATGAGAAGACAACATTAACAACAACATACAGACAGCATGAAACTATAATATAAGCAGTGCTTATAGTCTGCGCGGATTTCTTGTATTAACCTGATAGCGAATTGCACAAGTGTCTATATGACATATATTGCAGAACTTCCATTTCATAATTATATTCCCTCTGCTTTCGTGCTCATTAGATACGCCTGACAATCCCTTTAGTAGATATTGAAACGCACCGGCAGGGATTAGCATTATTCTATATTATATAGGCCCATGTTAAGTGTTATTGAGGAAAATTTGCGAGGCGTGCATTGATACCTAGCTCTAGAAAGATATACGCCGAGAATGTTCATGCAGAGGCAAAGGCGACAACATCATGCATGCGTACACTAATTGAATCTACCCGCATCACTTACACGCGTGTAATTAGCTAATAGTGTCGCCGAATATATATATAGTTAGATTTCTTCTCTAGGACGGCGTTGGAAGTGCTATGTCGCAGCTTCCGATGACTTTGTAGCTAAAAAGCTGCCGTTTTGTGGGGGCTTTCAGTTTTAACTTCATTGTGAAGAGTTTTTCATCGGATGATGTGATTGCAGGAACTCATCGTTAAGGATCTGCCGCATTCCGAATGCCGAACTCGAGGAGAGGTGATTTTGTGTCCATACGTTTGAGTCTACAGTAAAATGAGAGGTAATGTGCTCGCCATACGTGGGGCTATGGGTAGAGCCCTAGGTAGAGCCATAGGTAGAGCCATGGGTGGGTGGAGGTATGATTACCTAGCATATCTCATAAACCTAACACCCAACTACAACAACTAACGTTATGCCGTTAACGCTAACCATAACCCTAACAATAACCATAACCCTAACAATAACCATAACCCTAACAATAACCATAACCCGAACTCTAACCACAACCGTAACCCCAACCATAACCATAACCCTAACAATAACCATAACCCGAACTCTAATCACAACCGTAACCCCAACCATAACCCTGACTCTAAACATAACTAAAACCATAACCCTGACTCTAACTCTAACCATAACCGTTACCCTAACCATAACCCTAACCCTAACGTTAGCCCTAACCCTAACCTCAACCGTAACCTTAACCCTATGGATATCAATATGATGGCCCTCCTAGGCCACCAAATGTCTGTCCCCTCTTACTTGCAACGCGTGCATATTATTTAAGTATACATGAATGTTACCGTGGTAATAATGTCACCCGTGTCGGTGTACACCTGCGACTAAAATACGTGTTTTTTTTCTTTACCGGAATTGTGTTGTCGAATAAAATTAGCGTCGTTTATGGGACGCAAACGCACTGTCAACCAATACCACCACACCCATATATAATATATATATATATATATGGTGACATCTCGTCGCTGAGCTAGTCTGTTTATGCTTCTTTACTAGCTATATATTAGCTCATCAGTCAGCATGGGGTAGTCGTTGCTGCGAGCCTCTCACGCTTCGCTGCCGTAGCTCCTAGCTAGCTAGCGTTTACACGTTCCTTCACGATGCCTTGTGATCCGCGTTACCTCTCACGCACATTTTGGTGTCCAAGTGATTCATTCATACTACTGATGGATTTCCGAGTGCTGGAGTTTTCTTAGACTTCTTCGCCGCTGCACCGCGGGGATCAAAATCTCTCTCTATATATATAGTACAACAAAAGGCCGACGAATAATAAATAAATATATATATGTATTCGTCGGCATTTTTGTTGTTTACAGGGATGAAACCTGTTTATTGCGGATGGCTGTAAAAGCTATGGCCGGAGACCTGATTGTAAAACTTTTTCGCGTCAGCCATTTTAATTGCGACAGACGGACGTAAGTCAATCTCCACTTTACTCCAATTATAAGAACCTCGCTGTTGTTACGAGACACCGGATGATCTTTAACCTGTATATGCACGCGGGCATATAGCATAAGCTTGTGTGGAGCGGGCTGTGTGTGTGTGCGTGCGTGGCCGTTGCGTGCGCTGGCGTGCGCGTGTGTGTGTGTCGTGCGTGGCGTGTTGAGAGAGAGAGAGAGAGAGACGCGAAGAGAGGAGAAGAGAGAAGAGAGAGAGAGAGCAGATGAGGAGAGAGACCGAGAAGACGAGAGAAGAGAGTGTGTGTTGCTGTGTGTGTGTGTTGTGTGTGTGTGTGTGTGTGTGTGTGTGTGTGTGTGTGTGCTGTGCGTGTGCAACACGCAGCATGAACTACGCGGCTTAGAGTGTACGCAGTACTATAGAGCGAGTTTCGCGTTGCCACCATTGTTTTGATTTTCATAGTCAGGAACGACGCTCTGTAACGCTGAGAGTTTAGCGACAGCCAAATCGGCGCGGAAAGTTTCGAATTTGCACGTTCCGTAACTCAATCGCTGTTCCATCTTGGCGATAGACGGGCGAACCAGGAATTTGCGGAGACTTGCAGATTGAATACGAGAACATTTTGGCTAACAGCCACTTTGCTAGTAGGTCAGTATATCATCAGTGGCCGGACCTCGGACGTACAGCGCGTAGGCGCTCAGTTGAATGTATAATAAACGCGGCATGAAGTTGATAAATCTCGGTCGCGTGCCCCTCGTGGTTGACGCAATCTCGCAGAGCGACATTCAAATCGACGAATTTATTTTAAGAAGGCTGTATTTGCGGAAATTGCCGCCCGATAGAGAATCCGATGCGCGACACACGCCGATATACACACGGTCATTCTTTCCTCACTTTGCATCTATCATCTATCTATCGTATCTATATCTATCTATCTAAATCTATCTATCTATCTATCTATTCTATCTAATTCTATCTATCTATCTATCTGATCTATCTTCTATCTATCTATCTATCTATTTCTATCTATCTATCTATCCATCTATCGTAGTCTATTATCTATCTTATCTATCTATCTATCTATTCTAATCCTATTTATCTATCTATTATCTATCTATCTATCCTTATCTTATTCTATCTATCTATCTTATCTATCTATTCTATCTATCTATTATCTATCTATCTATCTAATCTATCTAAACTAACTATTTATCTATCTATCTACATCTACTCTATCTAATCTATCTATCTATCTATCTATCTTTACTATCTATCTATCCATTCTATCTATCTATCTATCATATCTGACTATCTATCATATCTATCAATCTATTATCTATCTATCTATCTATCTATCTATCCATCTATCTATCTATCTATCTATCTATCTATCTATCTATCTATCTATCTATCCTTCTATCTATCTATTCTATCTAACTATTTATCTATTTTACTATCTATTATTTACTATCATCTATCTATCCTTCACCATCCATCCATCCATGCCATCCATCCATCCATCCATCCATCCATACCATCCATCCATCCATCCATCTCCATCCTCCTCCATTCCATCCATCCATGCCATCCTCCAATCCTCATCCATCCATCCATCCATCACATCCTCTAAATCGATATCTACTAGCCTAACCTACATAGCCTACCTACCTCATCATCTAATTCTATCTCATCTATCTATCATCTTTACATTCTATCTATCTATCTATCTATCTAATCTATCTATCTATCTATCCTTATTCTATCTATCTATCTATCTATCTAATCCTATCTATTATCTAACACATCTCATTTCTCTCTCTCTTTCTCTCTCTTCTCTCTCTCTCTCTCTCTCTGCTCTCTCATATATATATAATATATATATATATATATATATATATTATATATATATTATAATATATTAGAGAGAGAGAGAGAGACGAGAGAGACGAGAGGAAGAGAGAGAGAGAGAGATATGCAAGGAGCTCATCATTGCCTTCAGTCATCACAGCGTTAGAGTCAAGGATCTACACACGGCCGCGTGTCGGTGTTATTGACACCGACGTCGGAAAGATGCCGCTGCGGCAAGTTCATTTCTCAGTAAATAGTTCTAAAATGACTAATAAAACCACGATGCGGCGGTGACAGACTCAGTGAGACGAGTGTAAGTGGTCGGCAACATATTAACCCTCTCTCTCGCTCCGTCTCTCTCTCTCTCTCTCTCTCGCTTTCTCTCAGAAACATGTGGCGGGCACATGGCAAGACTTCGTCGTACACCTATTACCCGAGCAAGCGGCTAAGTTAGCTGCGAATGCGGTTGATGTTGCCGACTGCATCGCTTTACCAAACAAATACCGAGATGACAAAATTAAAACGCGGACGTCTTCGATTTTTTTTTCACATTACACGAAACGATATCAACCCCATAAAAATGCCACGTTAGATTAGTTTCTGAGATAGGGCGCCCTTTCAGGTGAGTGCTAGTATTGGTGGGAGCATGTTTATGTGTTTGCATGGGAAAGTGCCGATAAATAGGGGAATATTTCTTTAGGAAATAGGGTAATGGCTGCATTCAGAGCTTGCTTTTGTCCGTTATGTTGTATAGTTGACGTGAACCACACACGAGCTGAACTTAATTAGAACTTTTCTAGCTTGCTTTCGCGTCGATTACCATAAAAGCAAAAAAAACGGAAGAGTTATAGCGTATCATGCGCCGATCCCCTTCTGAACGTCTCATTACAAACGCGAAATCTTATTTAGAT